AAGAAAGATACCTCTTTTTATATACTGAGTGGCATCTTTCTTTTTACTGAAATTGTGAAATTTCACCTTGCTGTTTCACCCCGTCTTTTATTGTTGGCTATCTGTGAAGTTCAGCACAGGGTGTTGCCACAAGCTGTTCCCTTTGTGCGCTCCAAGTGTTGTCTGGTGACGAACGACTTAGTTTGCTCCGACATTAGATTTACATGTCATTTCATGTATCTCATTTCCTCGATGTAAGACGCCTTTATGGGAGGTAAAAACAACATGATTTTTCAGCTCAAACTGCTTGTTTCTGATGCTGTTGTGAGCGTTTATGTATCCAACTAGTAAGAACATATTGCGCTCTCCCCAAATTACCCCCCCCAAAAAAAAAAATCAGGAACATTTTATCACAGTAGAAGTGAAGAGTGAGAGCTGGGGACCGCACGCGCGGTGCTTAACACGGCGAACAACAAACCCACCTTGACCCGTGGAATAACCTCTCGGTGAGCAATTTGACTTGCGGCGGTCAGAGGCGTACAGTAACCAACGGAAAGTGGCAGAATTAATTATGCCACTCTTTGTGCAACACAGAGGCAATCAGAATCCCCAGCAACACGGGAGGAAGATCTCCTTGGCGCTTTCGCCACAGCTGCCGGTGCCCAGAATGGCAAATGTGGAATTTTAATGCACAGTCGATGCTGGAGAATATGGGGAAATGCTAATTTGCGGTGCGATAAGATGAATCGCGTCATCCCTTTAGCCCCATTTGACTCAGTGGAGGAAATTAATCATTAATGTTTGTTAAGTATGACAATCTAACTGGGCCAGATCTACATGCTCAGAGACTGAGGCAGAGCGAGATAAAGACCCGGGCTGCAGACAGGGAGGAAAACTGCCAGATTCTGTAATGATGGGAATTTATTGGCATTTAAAGAGACAGTGGCGAGGCATTTCACTAATAGCCTCCCTCCATTGGAGTGCCTCTGCCTCCCACAAATTGCACGCAATCCAAACCTATTTTTCAGATAGCAGGGAAGTCTTACAGCCATGCTTGACTTTGGTGAATAAGGTTGCTTCCTGGATTGGACTTTATCTGTCGCAGCGTAATCTACATCAACAAGCAAATATGCAATATCAACAGACTAGCACTACCACTGGTGGTGGTGGTGGGGGAGGGGATAGCGAGCGGGCGGGCAGACCGGCACCCCCCCCCCCCCCCCCACCCCCCTCCTAATATTACATTCTGAAAATCACTGCCGAGCTCAAACACTAGCAAGATTGGGATGGGTTTAGGAAAGTGGCAGCGGGTTAGTAACACATGGAAACCTGTGCAATCTCATGTGAAGACTTAAAAAATACTTATACTCCATTTTGCAGGAATTGTGACCTGTCTCTGGACTCAGTAGCCAGGATTAGAGTGCTCTGAGCTCCTTAAAGTCGCACGCGAGAGATTGACATTTTCAAGGGCTGCCTTGGCAGAGACAATGCTGCTAAAAAAGGGGGGGGGGGGGGGGAAGAAAAAAAAGCCAATATGACTTTGTTGCTACCTTGCTCCAGGAATTGTTTGTGTAAATCGGCTATAAGCTTATTGACCCGGACGCGTAGCGCGCTGCGTGCGACTGCGATTTGGCTAGAGAGCTGTCCTTTGATAGAGCGGCGATAGGGCTGATTTTAACAGCTCACTGGCTCCTCTTGCATGCCCGCCAACCCTTTCGCCCAGCAGGCCGCCTCGTCTCCCCCGCCCCCCCCCCCCCAACCCCCTCCATGTCCCTTCTGTTCCGTTCAGCCTTCTCTCACTCAACCTTAAGTATCTCCATTTGATTGCGCGAGGAATGGAGCCCAAGCCAGATGTAAATTATGATCCAGGTGATAATGTAGAGGATGATCATTGACAATCTGTCTCCCTTGATAAGACGGCAGAGGGTTTCAATTCAAATGATGAAACAAGGCCGAATCTCTATTACTTACTGTGGACCTCTGCGAACGAAACGGAGCACCTCAATCAATCTGTTCCTCTATCAGAAAGGTCAGATCTCCTCCGTCGTTTAAAACCATTAAAAAAATGAGCCTCCACATTCCCTCCGTAGTGCCGTTTTTCATCAAACCGTACTGTAAGCAAAAGGAGTGCTGCTCCAGCACTTCTTGCTCTGCCGTGTGACATTTGTGGAGGAAAACTTCATCAAAGCCCTGTGACATTGTTCCCTGTGAGGTTGCCGAGGCGATTGTGTTTAAAATGCACTGCAAACTGCGCTAGATAGAAGGCAGAAAATCCTTAATCACTGCTTAATTAAGGAATCATCTTGTAGCTTCATTTCCCGGGCTGTAATTAAACACTTCCAATACGTTTCGTTACAGGGCTTAACATGTTCGCCTGAGATCAAGGTAGTGCCTTTAATGTTATCTCGCCAGCTTCTTCTTCTTTTTTAACTCCGCTCCATTGGAAGGAACTGTTGATATGCGCCTTTGTTATCCTCGTCATAATACGAGCCTGGTATGCTAAAGGGCTTTCTCCGGGCCCAACAATAAATAGTGGGGGAATTTAGTTGAGTGGGCTCTCTGATAATGTACTGGGGAAAGTGGGAGAGGAGCGGGGGGCTGAATCGCCAGCCCAAGCAGACACTTGCATAAGCAAAACTGGGTCAGAATGACCTCATGTACTGTAAGTAGGACATGTTCCTGCACACTTCCCTTCAGCATCACTTTTTTTCCCCCTTCGTATACGTCTCCTCTTTCAGCACGAGGCAGAAAGCTGACATCCTTTTGGCAATGTTTGCTACCTTCTTTGAAGTGAGCCATGTGAAAAAAAAATAGCTAAACAAGCATGGTGTGTGTGTGTGTGTGTGTGTGTGTGTGTGTGTGTGTGTGTGTGTG